TCTGGTCTAAGCTTCAGGAAGCCACTTCACCTGTTTACTCAGCATGAAAATGACAGACTTTTCTGGAGTTAGTAGGTTGAATTGTTTCATGCAAATAATTGTGTAGTGCCAGGTCTGGTGCAAGGTGCAGGGTAGGGACCTGCTGGAAAGCTAAAATGAGTATTCTCAGAAATTCCAACATGATCCAGAAACAGTGGGCTAATGTGTGGTATAATAAGCTTGTAGTTTTCACTGTCCATGAAATCTTGCCAAGTGCTGTTGTAGAAAGTTCCGGGAGAGAGGCCTGCGGGAATGGGAGTGAGTGGAAACAAAACTGGCAGTATCAGCATATGCAGTGAGCTTGGCCCAAACATAGAACAAGCCTCCTGTGGCAGGCAGAACCCCCCATGGGCATGTTGAAAACTCTGAACATCAATTCAACAGAAAGCAACTTTTCCTGGAAGATAGGATTTTTTTTTTCCCCACATATTTTGCCCAACTGGCACATGCTGTCTCAGCAAGTACCACATTCTTAAGCACTGGTATATGGATTAGTGTGTATGAAACCTGGGGAAACAGAATATTGCTTAAAGTTTTTGCTGTACACCGTATCATCTCCATGACACTTCACCCACCCTGTCTTACTGTTGAAGGTGCTTTGTAGTCAGTAACAATCTCCTTTAGTACTAACAAACTACAGATGACAGGCAAAGGCTATTCAAAGGCCTTGAGCTCCTTAGGACTATGATTCAGATTGAAGACAAGGTGCTAGAAATTGCTTTGCTTGATACCTGCTGCCATCTTAAGTGCAGTGTCATTGCTAAGAGTGAAAGACTGATGTACTCAGTCTTTGTTTTTAAACGCAAGGTATGTAGATCATACTAGTATTAAACACAGTGATACAAGGTTTTCCATATTCTGAATGGAAACTTGGCAAAGGCTAAGGAATCCACAGTTACTACTGCTATTGCAGATATACTTAGCTCCAGTGCYGTTACATGTGATGGCTCACATGGAACTGTGTAGTCCTATCCAGTGCCTTTCCAGCCCTACGTAGTGTTCAGTACATAGAACTAACCTTAAGTGCAAGTGCTCTGATTTAGCATGGGTTTGTACAAATAATTCACCCTATCTGAAAAAAAAAAAAAAGGCTTATAATATGGTTGTTAAGTGATAGCAGAGCAGAAATGGAAGTCCTGACTGTAAATATAGAAATTACCAGTGTAATGTTGTATGAGAAGAATAATCATAGTAAATTGATAATTGTAATCCTCTGACCTGGCACTCATTTGCAAGACTGTTCAAGACTGCCGAGAAATGGAGAAATCCCTGGAGCTTAAAAACTAGTCCTTTAATCAGGAACCACGTGGTTAAGTTTTAGGTTATCTAAAGGACTTCTTTATTTGGTTCAGTCTTGGGTTAATTTTATAATGAAGAAGAGCTTATTAACAAAGCAATCTTTTTCTACTCTGTAGTTTCTCAGCTAGTGATACTTACGAGAGGTAAATCGTTTACATGAGGGCACTAATACCAATTGTAGAGCTTATAACCCGTGGCAAATTTCTGCAATAACTAAAATTGGGTTTCATCTGGCTGCCAGCAGAACTGAGGCTTGTTAATATGTGTTACTGTGCTGTGACTATCTGTAACGAAGAGTAACTAAACAATTTTAAGGCAGGACCAGTGCGCTCGGTTTTGCTGCTCACATGCACAAATGATCCAAATGCAACCCTGAGAATGCTGCATTCCAACAGTCCAACAGGAAGGATTAAGCAGGGAAGTCCTGAATTGTGCTCGACCTTCAGTGTTTCTGAAGTGCACAAGTTAGTGAAGATAGATTCGGAACATGAATGACATCCTGATCCTTTTATTGAAGCCCACTATATAGCAGGAAGGCAGGGAGATACTTTTACTTTTTATGAGTGCCTAAGGATCTGAGCATGCTCTGTCAAAGCAGGATACAGAGCAGACTGCAGCTCTGTTCTGTGTCTGTTAAGGAAACGAGCCCCACCTCAGCTAAAATGGGCAAAACATCCTTGGTAAACAGCACATTGGGCAGAGCTTTCACAATTAGCAATTGCTCCATGAAACTCAGACTGGCCACTGCCCAACTGCCASTGAACTTTTATCCTCCCACAACATTTTGTTTAGAAACTATTTTTATTTTTAAATAATAATGCTCACTAGCAACACCCGTTCTGGAGGACAGTGACTGCTCTGACAGTGATCCTGACTCTTGCTTATATTGGGAACGGCAAATGCCATCCCATGTAATAGAAACTGGCCTTTAAATGATGAAAAGGTAGTGGCTAGTACATAAGGTCCTATATGTCTTCATTAATGAAAGGAAAACAAATTGCTGCTACAATCCTGTGTTGTTAAACTGTGTCCCACACAAAAGCTTCCTTCCAGTTCTTATGACACTGCATTCTTGATGGTGGAAGGTGAATATTTTATTGATTCCAGCTCCCTTCATTGATCTTATTTTGTAATCTGACTCAAAAAGTAGCCCTCTGCTCCTTCCAGTGGGGCCTTTGAATCGTTCCTGGGGACGGCAGGTGGGTGTTAGCAAAATAACTYTGTATTCTGTGACAAACCTGGAGTTCAGTTGAGCTGGGAACTTTCACAGAATTATTTGAAGCAATATTAACCTGTGATGGTTCCTCAAATCAGTTACCTCCTGGTACCTGGTACCTTGTGCCTTTGGTACTGGTGTACTCAGCAATTAGCAAGCACAGGCTTCCTAACCCAGCTRCCTAACTGATTACACTGCAAGTCCGGTTTGAGTGCAGCTAAGTCCTCCTSCTCTTGCAAATAGACCCCAAAGTGCCATGTATCAGTGGGATAAGATGTAGAGAAAATGCAAGGGTAGAACTTACTGTTGTTTCATAATCCAATTACTTTGGATACGCTGAATCAATGGGGCTCTTCCAGCTCAGAGAATGAGGTCGGCTCATGTGGATACGTGCTTTGAATCGCAAGCTCTGCCAGTTCTCACTGGCAGCGCTGAAGAGGTGCCTGTCCCAGCTCCCTGCCTGCTCCCCACAGCGGTCCCAGGGGAGGCTGCCTGGGCATCGGGCCTGCRCTGGCAGTCGCGGCTGAGCACACGGACAGAAGGCACAGGCTGCTTTCCYGGGAGCAATGCTTGCTCTGACTCCCTGTCCCTGCTGGATTTTAACTTGGGCAGCTCAGAAGACTGCTCTCCCACTATCACTGTTAACTGCAACCAAAAATGTAACCAGAACCTCCAGACTAATCACATGGGGTTAAACTCTGCTCTGAGAAGCAGTGAGCAATGTAGATCTGTCAAAATCATCACTTACATCCGAGGTCAGCAAGGTCAATTAGCCAATATATATTTATACACATATACACACATGTTCTTAAATATGCTGTTGCTAGATCAGTATGATCTTTCAGTGAGTGTTTGATTCCAGTGTGGTTCTCAATTCAAGCTGGTTTTGTCAGCAGCTTGTCAAATCATAACGCTGATATGTTTTTCACACCAGAGGGAATGGTATCACAATGCACTTTTGGGCAAATCTTGCAATTTATTACACACAAGGTATGAAAGGTATTGCTCTGAAGAATATTTAAATGTAAGATAAAAAGGCAGTCTTTTTTTTTTTTTTTTTTCCTCAGGGATGGTATAATAAGAAAATTTTGAATGGATGCAGTTCTGTGTTTGTGGGAAGAGCCATCTTAATCTGTGGGAAGTGTACCAAAATGATTTCAAAAAATAATTTAAGTGCTATTTTGGGAGCACAGTTTCCAAATTCCTACCCTTTGGGTGTATAGAAGGCGTATGTCTGGATTTGCAGAATAAAAAATGATGCCAAGAGATAACTGGAATTATTTTGACGGCAGCCAGCAAATATATCTCATCACTATGGTTGCAAAAACAAACACCCAGCAAAGGGCTATATCTGACAAGGAGAAAATAATTAAGGGAAATGGAATAATGTGCTGTCTGTATTAATTCTTCAMGTTCTCTCACACAAATGAGTAGTTGCAGGGGTGAATTCTGACCTACATGTGAGTTCTTGCTGCAGCTTGGGCACATATTACTTCAAAATAGAAAGGGATAGCAAATACAGCTYTCTATCCAAAGCTGTTCCATCCCATCCTTTTGGTGATATGTGAGGAAGTTGTAATCACATCACTGGATTTGAATGCAACAGTGAAGTTCTTCATTTAGTTGTGTTCAAACTGAAAATAACTTGATTTTTACCTCTGGTTGGGATGCAGTTGATAACAGACACATGATAAAAGTGCCTTGCTCCTAAGGCTTCTGGCTGCTCTAATTTTGGGGSATCAGTTAGTGCAAGTGCAAGCAGTGCTGTGCTGCTAAGATAAGTAATGTTATTTCCTATTTTATTAGTATATTTTATTTACAAATGTTTTGAAATAAATCAGTAATATTGACTTAAAAAAAAAAAAAGAGAAAGGTTAGATGGCCATGAAAGGAATAAACAAATTTTAACACAGGAGTGGGCAGAGCTTACATTGGAATGGCTGCTGCCCTTCCTTGTTGACAGGGTTCATATGCTGCCTCTGGCCTCTCAGGGTTTAGAGCCAGACTTAACGTGAAATTGGTGCTGTTTTGTCTGAGCATCATTGATTTTAAAGAGCCCTTCAGCATCGCCTGTCTTTCTTAGCATAGGAATCTTGTAGAGGAAACAAGTCAGAGGAAGAAATAGTRCAGCTGTCCCAAAATAAGCTGTCAGCTTCCACGAATCCAAGCTCTAAGATTAAAATGATGAAACAAACCAGTTTTGCAGATAAAACYTTGCTCCCTCAATCTCTTATTTGTGTTTTCTCCTTAGGATTGAGCTCAGCTCCTTACTCATTTTGCCATGAGTGATTCTGTGGAGACAAGCTATACCAGCAATTGTAATCACCTCCTCCTACTCTTGTTCTTCTGGAAATATTTATTTCCTATAATAATTCAAAATACTGTGCACACCCATGGGACATATATCTCATATATCCCATTGTCTGCTAAGAAATTGCAACAGTGGAATAAGATGTTACCTTCAAGCAACTTGTAAATTCTTCCCTTGGAAAATGTGTGAGTATTCCTTCTGCATTCCTCATTTGTTTGGATAAACAGTTAGGAAGATTGAATGACATATCAGTCCATAACAGTAGCTGAGCTAACTGAGTTCCTGATAATATGCTTATTGTACCACACTACATTCCACCCAAAGGGAAACACTGTCTTTTTCTTGTTGAGCTTTCATGGAAACCAAGTGAGCAGCATGTACTTGAGAATGGACTGCAGAATTAAGTAATATACWGATACACTTCCCAAATCTTTTTGGCATCAGATTATTTAAAATTAGAGTTCCATATTTATATTAGATTTTATGGATAGCYATAAACATTACAGTAAACATTTCCTAGCTAGGAAAAAGCTGAGAATCTAGTTCTACCTTACCTCCTGTAATTTATTTTGCACCATAAATTATGGTGAAATGTACAGAAAAGAACAACTTCCAAATAGTTCCTCTACGTTGCTTGTATATTTTAGAAAAGTAAATCACATATAAGTATTTCCCTCCTGTCAGCAGTAAGAGTGACATCATATAAAGGGAATGTACACAATGCCAAAAGTGTCCTGCTGGTTTGTATTAGTTTCCCTGGCCAGGCACATCCTGTGTAGCACTAGTTAAGCTCTACCAGCTTGAAAATAGACAGTCAGATGAAGGGTTCATTGCAGAAAGGAGCTTCCCTATACCCAGCGTATAGARAATTAGGGTGTATCTTAAAGGTTGATGCATAGTTCTTCCTCTTAAGACACAAAGTGGTCAGTGTTCTTTTGGTACAAATTCAATCCCTTCTTCTCTTGAAAAACAAAACCAAACAAAACAAAGAAGAAAGAACAAATTGAGAGATAAAAGAGATGAAAATTATTATAAGTAATCTTTTAAAATGATCCATTTTTTTCCAGACTAATGGGGCACACTAGTGTGCATTTAGAGCAAATGTAAGCCCAGTTCAATCTCGGAGTTGGATGCTTCTCACAAGGTTTGTTTCTATAGCACTTTGCTGGTGGTTCCCTGCAGCTGCTGATTCCGTGTTATGAGCAATAAAAATCTCATTCTTAGTTGGAAGAAAAATATTTGCAAAATAATTTAATAAATATTAAAAGTTATTTGCAAAATAATTATTTGCAAAAGATTTGAAAACCTCTGGGTTCGGGAGCGGGTGTGGGGGTGACAGAGCATTTCTTCCATAGATACCAATTCTATTATTGTTAGGAACAGCTGTGGTCTGTGTCTGTGAAGCATCTGTGGATGAAATGAAAGGCAACTTCAGTATTTCGTCCTTGTCCCTTCATTCTTCCTCCSTGAAGCCCAGAGCTGTGCAGTGCCTTCTGAAATAGATGCATGCTGAAATAGTGGCTAAAATGGTTTTATTTTCATTTCATGCAGTATTCGTTGACTTAATGTTGGATGCAGTGAAAAGAAATTTCTGTTCATGTCCCTTGTAGATTCTCTCCTTGAATTTCCATGTTTCCTGCCTATTTCTTCCTTAAAATTTACTTCCTTTCTAATTCTATTGGCAAGAGTTTGAGCAAAACAGTGTGCGTAAGAGTGACAGAAGGCAACAGCATTTTAATGACAATTTTGTTGGTTATACTTCTATAGTAGTCAATTAAATTGAGCAGATTTCCAGCTATTGGTGACAATACAGGTACTAATCTCTGTGTAGTTAATCAGTGGATACTTCAGAAAGTGAGGCAAGATTGGAGAACAGGAAGAAAATACTTCATTTGAACTGGGAATTTACTGAAAGATCTCAGCCCACTGGTAGGGGGAATATTGAGCAGATGGGTTGGCAGCAGTGCACAGACAGCTGGTTTTGTCTGGCATACAGGTGTTTAACTTGGCTGCTTGGAGATTAGCTACTGGATGCCAGATTTTTTGAGGGGATCACCTTGTTTAACAGAAAGTGGCTCTTGTCTATCCCCACAGCAGTTTTGGTGAATGAGCCAGCGCAGCTATTTTGACATCTTCTCTCCTCACCTCTTTGACACTGCCCAAAAACCCCTCCCGTCCTCTGCCAGAGCTGGATTTAGATGTGAGAGAAAATGCAGTCTTTGCAGTTATGGCAGTGTGGTTTTGCCTCTGCTTGGGAACAAGATGAGACATTGGGGTGTTCAGTATTCATTTTTTGGGCCAGAGGCTACTATTAATGTCCTATCCTGTCATTCTGCAGGAGAATCCCTTTGATTTGTTTCCAATAGACAGATGAATGTTAGCCAAGCTGTATGGTGAGATTTAGCAGTGGGAAATTTGGGGGGTTTGTCCAAAAGTCAGACTGTTGAAATAGCTGTACAACATCAGCAAATCCAGTTTGCTGTTTTCCAAGATGTAGTGACCCATAAAGTAAAAGCATTTTATGCAAAGGTGACAGGTGTGATCAGAGACTCCAATAATGGCATCAGATACAAATTAATGTAATACTGTCTACTAGAACACTGAGTGTGAAATTCAGACCTGGTATAMCTGAGTTAAACAACTGTGCCTAGGACTGAACGTTGTTACTGGTGTTACAGTTCTGGTGCCAAGTATGGTTGCAGCTTGAGTGATCTGAGATTGCTGTTGAAGCCAAACTTCTCCCAGCCTTTTTGACTGGTGTTCCAGTGTGAGTGCCCTGTTCGGAGCACATATTTGATTGCTTTTGCAACATCTAGCTTTCCTGTGAGTCAGAGACTGAGCATCCCCACTTAAAGTCAGATATAAGCGTCTGGCTATTGTAAAAGGACAATAGCGAAATGCTGATCTGACATTGTTATCTTTAACCAAAAAAAATGAACATCTGTAGAATGTAATATTTTGAGGTTTATTTTGGTTTTATTCTACAAAAAAAAAGGCTGGTTTTCGTTAAGGTATAAACACTCAAAATGCTGTTAAAATGTTCTAATGTTTTGCTTTATGAATGCAAACTGCAATCAGTTGTGGAACAGTGCATTGGAAATATAATTGCTACCATCAGGTTGCTCTTCATCTGCGGAGATAGTTCTAAGTACCTGTATTTTGCATAAAGAATCCAAAGTGAGGACTCAGACATGTCAGCTTCTTGTTAGCAGTGAAATTTGGTAGCATGGGATTTTGCTATTTATGAATGTAAATAAATATACAAGTATGCACACAAACATTTTTTATATATATTATGTTAATTCTACACTAACGTTGCCAGACATCACAATTTATGATGATGTTTCTGGACTGCAGTAACGTGCAGTCTGTGTATACTTTTTTTTTTGGTAAAGATTCTTTTTTGGAAAGGAGGACGTGTCAGATAACTGTAGGAAAAGGAATGTGTTTATATTTGGGATGAGCAATCCTCTTAGGCTATTTCCAAGTCTGTTTAAGTGCAGCGTGTTTTCATTATGTTCCAGAGAGATGGCAAAAGGGGGGGGGGGGGGGGGAAATCAGTGAAAACACAGACAGAGCCAATTAAGAGTAGAGTAAAAAATGAATCAAACAAAGCCTGTATGTAAAGGAGCAAAGTGGGAAAAAGAAAAATTTAATGCAAATAAGTATCTGTGACAGTCTAGTTTTGGAGACTGCTCTATTTCAGCGGAGTTTTAGTTAGTAGAAAACTGGCATTATTAAAACTAAGAAAAGAAGGCCATTCTTTGAAAGATATATGAATTTAACTGATGGAAGAAACAGGTCCATGAACTATAGTAAGTTTTATGAATACTAAATATAGTTGAGAGATTTCAACTGCTGTTTAAGATCTTACAGATCTTACAGATCTTGGTTTTATCTGTACCCTTCAAAATCACCATAGTTCCCCAGTTATAAAATGTGTCAAATGAGTCTCTCCTAATACTGCAATGCTGATTTTATTTTTTCTATAAAAATGTTCTGTATTAAAAATGTTCTGCACATTCGTGCTCCTCTTCCACATGACCTGATCGAATAAAACCTTACCATTGAATGACCTTCTGCAAGAAACTTTGTGGCATGTCTTGACCTTTTATGTGTGACAGTACAATAATGTTTGCATAGTCGGCTATGACACGTGAGTCATTTCAGCATCTTTATAATGGGAACAGAGTTGTAAATGAAAYAGAGGGGGCTGGTTCTATAAAACAAGTAGTGCTTAGTCTTGAGTTAACCTGTGTGCTTACATGACATGCTTAGTTAATGTCATGTTACAATTGTGTGTTACAGGTGTGCTGGATGTAAGGCTACTAGATGACAGCCTGCAACATGGACCAGTCATTTGGATGCTGAATGGAAACTGGATAGAGTGATAAAGGTACTACACAAGTTTACTGGGTATTTTTTTGTGTGTATTGATTTTGTTAAGTGAGTGGTTATTAGAAGTGAACATTTGGAAAATAGCCAAGCGATTCTGGATGAATGGTCTCCCAGCTGAAGGGCAGTCACCTCCTTGCAGCCTGAAGTTGTACAGGTACCAGGAATTAGCAAATGGGGGCTCAAGGAATTAAAGGTTAACTGTAGTCAGAAAGGCAAGTTGCAAGAAGATCAACACCTTCCTTTTGTAAGTGGCTCTCAGGACTTATCCCAGTGAAGCCCTTCTGAAAACCAGCATGATGGAAAATACAGAAGTCTGGAGTGGGAGAGGATGAGCAGCTTCTTGACACAATCTGGTACTTTGGAGCACCTTGTAAGAGTCTGTGACAATGAGAGTTTGTAGTCTCAGCTTGAGGTAAATCATAGAAGGTGGTTCTGGAAAGCCATTTTATGGAGTGTGTCTAAATCAGCCTTTGCCAACACACTGGTTAACAAGTTAATGATCAGTCAGCTTAAGTAAGAAGAGAGGGTACAGTCTTTGCTGTGGTCAGTCCTGTGAGGCTGTTCTGGAAGAGATGGTATCTGCTCTGCTTCTCCCTCTCCAGGGGTCATGCAGCTTCCCCACAGCCCCCTCATTACTGCTATTTACAGTCATAGGTTCAAAACCTCTAACATTAAATAAAAATGTAATGCTGGCCATAGACATCACACTTAGGAAATCTGTGTATTTTAGACTGGTTAAACTCTGTGTTTTGCAGCTCTTTAACTCCCAATGCTTTTTTTTTTTTTAAAGCTAGTATGATTTTCATGCAATGCGTTCATATTTTCATAATCCCATTGTTGCTCTGGGCCTTCTTGGTGAAATCCTATCTATTGCCCCTTCCTGTGTCTTTCTACGCTCCTTATTTTTGTCCCTATTTCTCTGAGATAAAGCTCAGTTTTATCATGTTGCTCACTTAMAACAGGTTGCTTTCCTTGCATGCCCTTCTTCAGGGCATAAAAACTAAAGCTAGTTTAGTTTTGTTTGCCTAGATAGCTTATTTAGTACTAATGGTTTAGGTAGCGGGGTAAGGAGTGTGGCAAGCTAATTTACTGAGCTTCCATGGCAAATCATAGCTTGGACTAGACCTTCACCAAGCCTAAGCAAACCAATTTAGAAGAAGTGGGATATGACTGCTAAGAATACGTACTTGGATGGATTTTCTGTAGCTCTTKGAAAGTTTTACAGAGTTTGCATTTCTTCACTTGTGAAAACAGAAGAAAATGGTCCCGTTTTTACCTTGCTCCTCCATATGTCAAACATCTCAAATTGAATGTTGTGTTGTAGTGACTCATCCAGTCAAAGAAACTTAATGCACTTATGTGGATTTTTTAAAAATCATGATACTTCTGTGAACTAGTTAAGTGTTATTGGCTACATTGTACAGCTGGAAAATAGGGAGAAAAAAAGATTAGAAAACATTTTCCAAAATTACCTTTAAAAAAGATAAATGCAAAAATTCAGGAATCATCTTTTGAATGTGGATGATCATTTGGAAATTTAGGAAATTTAGCAGTCAGCAAAATATCTTCTGAATCTTGTTTATCAGTTTTATTTGCACATTGACATTTCAAAATGCAAATGAATGTATAATTTTAATGTATAATGCATAAATGAATGTATAATTTTTTAGTAGCGGTCAGATTTACCAAGAGTAAATAATACAAGGCTAAATCCACCCCGCTAGTAAACGCTGTGCGCCAACAGTTTATTTAATAGTGAGGTTATTTATAGAACGCTCCTTCATGTGATGTTGTTGCCAGCAACCCAGATGTCCCTTGCATGCACTCAATTTTAAATAAAGGTGAAAGGCTAAGGAAAATATRAAAAGCACCCACCTTTTAATATTTGAATTCAACAATAACACGCTGGGTGTGGCCACGCCGAAGCTGTGGCTTGTCAGATGCTTGGGAGAAGGGAAGGGTGGGAAAGCTCTGTGCTGAGCAGTTCCACAGTCTGCTTAGTGAAAACACATCTGACACCAGCCACTGTGGCCCCAAAGATACAGGGAGAATGGGTGGTGCTTTCGGTTCTTACAATGAGTAAAGCGCCTTGCTCTGGTTAGGAATGTAGCCACAAACAAGCATTTTCACTGCAGTTAATGTACTTAATGTTTGCAAAGTTGTGAATGAAAACTTAAGACTTGTTGTTGGTGTGTTGAGAAAAGGTTGTTTTCTCTAGGCTGTGGGTTTTTTTTTTTCCCCTCTCTCCAAGGAGCCTGTGAGGCTCTTTGCATGAAGCTTATCCTGAAAGCTGCTGCTTCATGCTCAATTTGCTCTGCTTAATTTGGACACTGTGATGTTTGCAGTGTTTATGAACTAGACTTTCGGGCTGCTATTTACAGAAAATGCTGTCTCTCCCATTTGAGAGTACTTTGATACTGAATGAAACTCACAGGAATGTGGGTAGGTCAGAGACAGCAAAAAGCGTGTTTTACACATGGATAATCCTCCCTGGAACAGCATGGGGTTTTTGTTTGTTCCTCTTTCAAGTCAAAAGTAATGACCTAAAAGTTCTGTGAAGAGAAATTTTAATGCTTAAATAATAAGTGTTTAGCTGAAACAACTTAGTAGTACCTTGAGACAGCCTAAATTTAGACAATATCACATATAGATCCTCCTAGAATAGACTTCCAGTAACCCACAGTTACCCAGAACTGTCTGCCCAGCACACAAAGTGACCTGGATCAGTAACTTAGCTTTTTGAATTCTGCTTTTATTAGGGTTTATTCATATAGTTCTTATTCAAGAGGATTTACAGCCTAAGAAAAATATTAGTATTCTGTAAAATCACAGCCAGTGTGCTTTGCTATTGCAGAAGACTCTTCTAAATAACTCTACTTCTGCTCTGTCTTATCTGTCTATAAAGAATTTTATTTTGAGAAAAAGGTGTATATCTCAGGTCATGCTTGAGTGTTTGCCATCAAACAAACTGCTAGTGCCTCCCGAATTGCTGCAAGCAGGTTGTAGTGAGCCTTGTATCTAGACAGATTTTGTCTGGAATCATTCAGTACATGAGAAAAAGATTTCACCTCATTTATTTACCAGATGGCACTACAAAGCCATTCCATTTATTTTTCCTGACATGTTGTTCAATACTGCTGTGTTATATCCTCCAATGTTGGAGGAAGGTACCAGGACTGAGCAAAATTCTCTCATTTTCACAGTTACAAAGCTAGGAGATTGTCAAAGAGAAAGTTAACTACCAGATAGGGACTGAGGAACCCTGTACAGCAACATCAAGCACCRCTGCAGTAAATTGCCTTGTTAAGACTTGCCAACTAGATACTGTGTAGGTGTTTCTATTGGATTAGGTATAAGCCTTGCACAGAATTGCATGCTTTTTTGTTAGGTATATACCTTACTACTAGAAAAAAATAAAATCTTGTACGATAGTCTCCTCGTTTGGGCTGCCAATTTGAGAAAATGCTGCCCAGTGACACAAATAACTACTTTCCCATCTGTGTTCTCTTGTAATCAAAGCATGAAAAGGTTTAACACCTTTCCAAAGACAGGCAGCTCTAAGTAACCTTCAGAGAAGATAAATTTTACAATTTTCTGTTCCTTTACCTCCTGACAGGGAGAAAAACCCTGCAGCCATTTAGAGAAGCTTAGAATGTCGGCTAAGTTTGTATCTTCACAGGGATGTGGCTGGGTTCGGCCGGGTGCTGAGTGCTGGAGTTCAAAAACCTATGGATAATATCGGTTTCTTAGGCAGGAGCCAGGCTTTACTGGACCAAGAAGGGAAGTTCAGCATTAGCTGAACTATGAAGGTCAGGTAAAAGGAGAACAAGCTGTACTTCGAAGTCATTGAAAAGGTGCAAAAAAAAAAATGACTTGCTGTTTTTTGGCTCTTGTTCTCTTTAATCTGACACCACTGTTACAGTTAAGAATCAAACAGGGCTTTTTTTGCACTGATGCAGCGAATGTTTGCTTATCTCTTTGTTCAGATCACTGTATAAGCAGCTGTGGAGAAAAGGAGCAGAGACACCTCTGGCAAAAAAAAGAAATCACTGATGGGAAAGTTCAGGGAATGCAGGCATGACAGGGGACCCTGGTAAAATGTAAGTAAAAAAACTGCAAGCAGAAGCATGCACGGGCCATCCTACATCCCTGATTCAGTTATTTATAATTTATTTTAAAACTAGTTCTTATTCTTGTTAAGGATGAAATGTGGAAAGGTCACAGCTCCCTGAATTTACAGCTGGGAAATTAAAGGTATTTTCAAAAGAGGCTCATTGTAACTAGAGCTGTTGCCTGCATGAGGTTGAGTCGGATGAGTGGCGTGGGATTATGGATTTTCTCTTACGTTGCTTGTAATTTTCTGTGAACCATGATATCTGCAGATTATAATTAATTCCTCCAAATAAGTGTGCCAGTAAAATGTGATCACTGAGATGGGCCTAGAAAACTGCCACAAAGGGGTTAATCCCATAAGGAGGAGTGGGTTAATCTGTGATAACTGAAATCTAGACAGTCCTCACGGGCTGTGAGTTAGCTGTGAGTCACTGCAGATCAAGGCCACACGATGGGTCTCAGGAGGCTTGGGCTTASTTTCCTGCTGTGCCACAGCTTCACTTTCAGACCCCAGACAAATTTAATTTCTTTTGGCCATCTCCAGCATGGGGCTGGTGATCTCATTCCTACCCTTTGCCTGTTTTTTCACTTCAGACGAAACGTTCCTAAGAAGTGGCAGCCTGTCACCGCAGCACCTAACAGCATACGGCCRGATTAGCTGTGGGATCTCTTGCACACTGTCTTCTGGCAAACACCATAACTCAGAACATAAATAATGTTTTACAATTGCCCTTTTCTTCAGTTTCCAAGGAAAGGACAGGCCATATTGTTTCAAAGAACAGCTCTTATCTGGTGATATTAAAAATGTTCTGAAATGTTCTCTAGTCACTCTACAAGCCAGAGCAAATTGTAAAATCCTTTAAGTGAGTTTGTGCAGTTTTAGTACCACTCATGCCTGAGCTGGAAAACCCTCTTTCTGAAATGACTGTCTTTGAACAACTAAGGTGTGAAATTAACTTCTTAAAATGATTATGGGTATTTCAGGGAACTCAAGTTTAAAAAAAAAAAAAAAGAACAGCTGCAGGTTTTGTTCCATTATTTATCATTACCTTTTGTCTGTACCCTTCTGGCTTGAATTCACAGATTAAAAGTGGAAAAAAAACACTGCTTTTGCATGAGTATTAGTTCAAGATGATKTATTGCACTTCAGAATGACAGCAAAGCCGGGCAGCTTTGTCCAAGCCGGGGAGCTGTTCCTGTCAAATACTTATGGGATGACTGGACACATGCTCAAATCAAGACCTTTGTTTAGTAAATACTGAATATTCCCTAGTCCTTTCTATCCTGTCGTCATTTCCTCTGTACAGCTAACAGCTGTAGCTTCAAGCCAGTGTGTAAAAGTCCTTGGTTGGGCAGTTTCATAATAAGTGTGTTTAACCATGTAACAGAGGTCTTCGCTAGTGCTTTTTCTTCTTGGCAAAGTTCTTAGGATTTTGTAGCCTGCAAACCCAACAAACCTATAGCGATCTTTTTATTAAAAAAGGCATAACTTGTAATTTAATTCATTATCCATTTAAGTTATATGAATATACTGTAACGCATCTACGAAGTAGGAAACCTAGTCATAGCCTGTGGTTTGGGGAAACTGCAGACTCTAGAGGGGAGATAGTGTTGCATTATGGTAGCTGGTTTCTCATGGTTCAAAAGGTAGTTGCTCAAAACTGAGCTACTGGTTCAGAGAGCCAAATACCCAGCAATAAAGCAGTTTTTCCACATAGGTCTAGGTATTTCCCCAGGCCTATGAAGGAAGGTGGATGGAGGGGATGATTGCCAGTTCATGAGTGGTTTCAGGGCCCTGTGTTGAGTCAGGGGCAGGAATAGGAAAACGGGGGAGAACCTGGTAATACCAATCGTACCTGGGCTGTGAGAAGCAAATAAATTAGGAGAATTGTTGACCGTGGGTCTTTTAGGGGKTTGTTACACAGTAATATCTGTCTGATTCTTCTGGGAAGATAAAAGGCAGCAGTATTGCACAGTCACCTTGTCAGTATGAGTCGTGGGCAGGGCACACAGGATTTGGACTGAAATTTCCAAAAGGCTTCCTGACAGTCCTGAAAGGTTTCCCCTTTCTAGAGTGATGTGTAAGTAGCCACCAGCAGTGTTAATTGATCAGACAGCAAACATCTGTTTCAGGGCAGGGTGGATGTTGCATCCCTTAAGTTAGGAAAAATGCTGAAACCACGAGCCCCATTCGAGTGCACCACTGAGCCACTGCTGCATGGCGACACGCTCGCCTGTGCTAGAATTCATGCTTGGTTCTCCAGAAGGGCAGCTCCCAACTGAAGCCTGGCTCCCTGGGGCAGCCTTATCAGCTTGCTCTGTACCATGGGTGGCCTCGGTTGCACCAAGTTCTTGTCCTGGGACCATGAGTAATGTCAAATGGGCCCTCWGCAAGTTGTGAAGGTTGATGCCCCTACCCTGACCTAGCAAAGAGAACGTTCAAGACACAGTATGTTTTATTAATTGGCAATATCATTCCATGTAAAAGGGATGATCCTCTCAGAGATGGCTTTTCTCATGTTAAGATAACTGAGCAGCACAAACCTTAAGGAATATGTGGGTCAGGACCTGTGTATAAAATACAAAACATACAAATGACAAGGCAGTAGGAGAAGGATTATAAATAACCTTTTCATACCAAGAGAAGCAATAAATTTGCTGTGTCCAGGGTATCAAACCAATGATTAGCTCATTCAGTTTCAAATTAACCTCATTAGATTTTGTAAATGTAAAACCTCTTTTGAAAAATGACTTCAAACTGACTTAAGCTTACTCTAGAGAAATAGTTGGAATTTGACCTCTTTCTAATAGCTTCTAATAGTTCCCTTCTACTTTAACACATAATGATGTAGCCAATAAATACAATAATCTTTGTTTTCTGCCAAAATACTTCATAAAATGTTATCCATCTTCTGAGGGTGGGGGATGGTTCTGTTTATTTAAAAATGAAGTGAATGAAAAATGAAATGAAGTTTATATAGAACATGTATTTCATGAATAGACAGCCTCAGAGTCCATGTCATGAATTAAATGCTGTTTTATCGGTCCTTCATGCAAAATGGTTCTTGCTAATTCATTTATACCACGAGTTATCTTGCAGAAATGATGCGTTCCATGAGGGCTGGGGTCCTGCACCGCAGCCTGCAGCTCCACCATCATATCTGTGCTATGGGAATTTTAGCACAATATTCCCTGAGGTGCTGCAATTAGGTCAGCGGCTCTTTTGGGAGCTTGAGCGTAGACACAGCTCGGGGGGATTTGGACAGCTTTAGCAGTGCTTAGGGCAGACACTGTCCGGGATGCAGGAAAGGAATATGTATTTGTTTTCCCCAGACAGAACCGTGCAGCAGGAGCAGACCCACATAATGGCTTCTCTGCTGCATAGTTCTCCAGAGCAGTCACTGGGCTGCAGGCGAGGGTGGGTGAGTCAGTTAGCTGCCTCTGTCCTTAAGGTACCCGTGTCCTGTACACTATTTGAGGAATGAAACTGTAACATTTTTTACATTCAGCTTCATGTATGTGACATTCTGAAAAGGGTGATGAAGTACTAAAATGTTGTCAGTATAGCGAGAAGAGTAACTAACCCACATATTTTGTGGGGTAGTTATTTTTCTTTTTCTTAAGACGGAGCTCTTTGTGTGTTATCTCCCTTACCCACCTGCTCCAGCTGCACTAGCAGAGCTGTGTTTAATTTGCAGGGTTCAAGGTTAGCCTGAGGCAGGGCTCAGACCATGGTCAAGATATGTAAACATGTAAGAGGCATGGGATACAATCACAATTGGGAAGAATGACATTTGTTTTTCTTCTTCCCCCCTCATCTTTGCCAGTGACAGCTCACTGATATTTTTGCATAGCAAGGCTCAAGCTCAGGTGCTGATTTATCCCCCAGTCTGAAATCCTTAACCAGGCAAAGCCTGGGACCGGTGTTGCAGATGTATTGTTTGTGCCTGTCTACTATAAGTCATTGTAAGTCAGGGAAGAGACACATCTCAGACCTTTTGGAAAAGCATCCAGGCTGCTTTAACCTGTTTGGAGTGGCTCTTGGGGTAGGTCTGCATTGCATAGTGGAGATACCTGTTCTGGCTCCAAGCAAACTGTTTCCAGAGYCAGAAATAATACAACTGTGTCAGTGTGGTGCTTTGCATAAGACTAATTGGCATGTGCTGATATGTCTGTGTGGCTGTGCTCAGGACTACACAGCCCTGTTGCCATGTTCAAGCAGACTCGGGTAATGCTCAGATGCGTCTGCCATGTGCAGCACAAAGCCTTGCTGCCCTCGCACATTCTTAGGATTTTCTCCTGTAACTTCAGTTTCTGCAAATGTTTCAATTTTTGATTGTCTTTCATTTGTGCAGGAGACCAGCTCCCATCCTGCCCTCCAGAGAAGTCCACCACAGAGAAGTGCCCTCCGCTACTGCAGCCCTTGCTGAACCCTCGGCATCCAGTGGAAGAGCTGGGGATCTCCAGCAAGTCAGAGTCTGGTGAGGAGGACTGCTGTCCTACAGTCAGATATGGTCCTGTGTTCCTGTTCTTGCTGTAGAGGCCTGATAATTCTGAAAACCCACTAAGCCCAGCATCATGCAGGACTGCCCTGCACCCCATACACATGAATTTTCCTTTGAAGCATTGGGCACTTGTTTGTAAATTCTAAAATTTKACATTGGGATTGCATTTTTGACTGGTCTCTTGTCTGAAAAGCCACTGTTCAAAACAACTCTTAATTTCTGGGGACATTTTCCTCCCAGTTTTCCCCAATCCATTTGGTTTTTACCTCAGGTCACTTTGGTACATGTGGGTTTAGGCCACCTGCACCCATGTCTGCAGACATCAAAGTTAAAAATTTGTTTCTAGGGAAACAATGTCTGAGCTAAAGCTCACTTTTGGGCTTAATTTTGCTTCCATTTCTCTCCTTTTAACACTTTGG